AGCCAACCAGCACCTTTATCACCTGTTTTCTAATTCAGCTTACCAAAATATGTAAGAATCAGCACATTTTATCTCAGGGGTCAATAATTTCCCAAAATGTATAGACCAGTGTAATTGTGCTATTTCTATCAAATCTTTCATAGCAGTAAGAATGAACTCAAATTCTTTTTAATGCACAAAAACACAATATAATACTTGATTTGCTTGGTAAAATATAAAAGATGGAATTACATTGAGTAAATAGATACCAAATATGCCAAGCCTTGGAATGGCACACACCCATGAAATGACAAAAGGCTACGGTGCCCAAAATTGTCCATAGATTACTCTTTAAAAGCCTTTATGCCTCATCAATATAAAGTGAACAGTAAATGTTGTTCCTAGAATTATTGCTTTTATGCCAGGTATGTCTATTTTATATATACTGGAACAGTGTAACTATGTATATATCATACTTGTGGCATCCCTCTAGATGCTGGAAATCATTGAAGTATACACCGATACTCCAGTGATCTCCACTTGCTTCCGGGTCCCGTGCTAAACAGCTGGCCTGATTCATTGTAAATACAGGGAGTCAGCCTTTCAGCACAGGTGCAATTCAGAGAATGCTTTGCATTTTCTTAATGAATGCAAAGTGTTCTCTGGTTAGACAAGGTAGAGAGAGAGATCTCACCGCCCCGTCTTTCCACCTTGTCCAATTGGAGAACACTTTGCAATCATTCAGTGAATGCAAAGCATTCTCTGAATGGTGTGCATGATGAGCTTCAGAATGCAGCAAGGCAGCCGCTCAGCAGCAGCACAGGAACCAGAAGTGAGATCACTAGGTTAGAAGTGTCTACTTCAGTGAGTGCCAGCTTCCAGGAGCATTAGACAGGTATCATACTGTATATGAATTCTGTGACCCTGGGTATATGATTAGGTGTCCCCGCTCAGGCTAACAAAGTCCTGTGAGAAGGATGCCACTGGCTAGTGAGGGTGCAGGCTGGGAATGGGTTTATCCAGACCCAAAGCACGCCGTGAAGACAAGGAGGGGTTTCCTGACTGCCACACACCTCCCCTGGATGTGCTGTAAACATGTTAGAGCAGCCTCAGCTCAGTCCATCAAAGGCACATCCCAAACAGGGCGGGGTGAAACGTTTTGGGGCCATGGCGCTGATGGATTGAGTTGAGGCTGCTTTTATTTGTTTATAGCACATCTAGGCGAAGTGTGCGGTGGTTGGGAAACCCCTCCTTATCTGCACTGTATATGCTGTACATGTTGGACCAATGTAACTATATATATAATGCCCATACCTCAAAGTCATCTTTCACACACAGAGCATAGCTTGGCCCCACACCCACGCTCATCTCATTGGCTCACTGTCTGTGATTGACAGCAATAGGAGCCAATGGCTCCAGCTGCTGTGTGAGCCAATAAGGAGAGAGAGAGACCCCAGAGAGCCACTGCTCTCATGCACATCACTGGATCGAAATGAGGCTCAGGAAAGCATAAGGGGGTGATCTAATCCCCTTGACGATGTCTATTGAGACAAAACATACGTTGGGGCTGGGCGAAGATTGTGCTGATGTCACCCATGCCTGTTTGGAGCTGGTACCAGCGGTGTTTTGACTTACACGCTTGTTTATCTTCGATGTTCAGACCATGCAAGGAAGGGGGACAGGGCAGAGTAGAGACACCGAAGTTTCTGATGGGCACGAGAGTCTTTATACTAATACACACTTGGAGGATCATTGAGGACACGTCTGTTCATCATAGTATGAAGTTATTAAGAGATTTTTTCAGTTTGGTGACTTGCGCGCTTTAAATTAATTTAATAATATAATTTTATCATATTGTTTGCAGAAGATTTAAGTGACTTACTATTTTTTTATTGTTTATCAATAGCACAACAATAACTGAATATCACATATTGAGTATTTGTATTTTATATTTTTGAATGCAGCTATTGTTTTATATTTTATAATTTGTGTGGTTTTATTTTGATAATTTTTTGGGCACTGAGCGCAGTTACACATCTTCTACATTATAAGTATAAGGAAGGCTGCACAGAATTAATTAAATTGAAAAACCTTGAGCCTTTAGGAGCACTTTAAACACACAACCAAGACCTCTGGTCTGTCCTGCCCACCATGACATAATACTATGCTTGACATGTCCAAGGGGACTCCTGGTCTGTCACATCCATACACAACCACAATAACACTCATTGATAGGTACAGTGAAGGAAATAAGTATTTGATCCCCTGCTGATTTTGAATGTTTGCCCACTCACAAAGAAATGATCAGTCTAAAACTTGAATGGTAGATGTATTGTAACACTGAGAGACAGAATAGCAAAAAAAAATTCAAAAGAAATGCATGTCTAACAAATTATGCACCGATGTGCCCGCAAGGTCTCTCTGCTCAAGAAAGCACATGTCCAGGCCTGTCTGAAATTTGCCGCTGAACATCTGAATGATGCAAAGGAGGACTGGTTGAAAGTGTTGTGGTCAGATGATTCCAAAATCAAGCTCTTTGGAATCAACTCAACTCACCGTGTTTGGAGGAGGAGGAATGCTGCCTATGACCCCAAGAACACCATACCAACTGTCAAACATGGTGGTGGAAACGTTCTGCTTTGGGGGTGTTTTTCTGCTAAGGGGACAGGACAACTGCACTGCATCAAAGTGACAATGGACGGGGCAATGTACCCCAAATCTTGGGTGAGAACCTTCTTCCCTCAGCCAGGGCATTGAAAATGGGTCATGGATGGGTGTCCCAGCATGACAATGACCCAAAAAACACAGGGCCAAGGCAACATAGGTGTGGCTCAAGAAGAAGCACATTAAGGTCCTGGAGTGGCTTAGCCAGTCTCCAGACTTTAATCCGATTGAAAATCTGTGGAGGGAGCTGAAATTTCAAATTGCCAAACATCAGCCACCAAACCTTAATGACTTGGAGAGGATCTGACAAGAGGAGTGGGCCAAAATCCCTCCTGAGATGTGTGCAAACCTGGTGGCCAACTACAGCAAACATCTGACCTTTTATGATTGCCAACAAGGTATTTACCACCAAGTACTGAGTCATGTTTTGTGAAGGGGATCAAATACTTACAGTATTTCCTTCACGAACATGCAAATCAGTGCATAATTTGTTAGGTATGCATTTCTTTTGAATTTTTTGTTGCTATTCTGTCTCTCAGTGTTACAATACACCTACCATTTGATTTTTAGACTGATCATTTCTTTGTGAGTGGGCAAACATTCAAAACCAGCAGGGGATCAAATACTTATTTCCTTCACTGTATAATTCCCATTCCATGATGGAAATTGTACTTTTTCCCAGCAATGCTGCCCAGCAACAAGAAGTTATGTTACATTATGGTACAACAGTTGCAGTTTCTTTTCGCCAGGAATGACATCACAGAAATGTGATAGTTTACTGAAAAACTTGGTTTTTTTAACCTGAAGTGCTGCCAAAAACAAAACAATTAAGCAAGCAAAAAAAGTACCTGTGAAAAACACACAATAAAAGTTCACTTAACGTTGTGACTCTAGTCCACCTCCCGAAGAAGTAGGGCCTTTCCCTGACCCCCTGGGGTGCAAGGTTCCCAACAGGGGCAAGGTACACTCATGGGCCACTTAGCTACAAGCTTAGCAGACCCCTTTCCTTATGGTCAGCTGAAGCCAACCAATGAGTACTAGGCAGAGCGCTCCCCAAGGACAAACGCCCCAGTTCAGGCGAGGAAGGAACTAGGTAGGTTAAGATAATCATTTACAATTGTAATGCACATTGCGATAGGAAGTAATGAGCCACATTAAAAACTATTCTGGACTTCGGCTTTAAACTTTAGGGTAGTAGCAGGTACTACAGTACTTATATATTTCAATTTATCTGGCTGGATTTAACATTTGGTTGCAGTTTGAGTGAAGTTCTCCTATAGACGGGCCTAATTATGTCCATATTGTGACATAGGCACATTGAGCATCAGTAGAATACAGAGACAGTTTTGCCTACACAGAGCTGGAATTGTAGCATGGGGGATGTGAAAAAAAAAAAAAGAATTGCTGACATTCCTATTTTTCTAGCCTCCAGCCATAGAGTCCAAATGAAAATGATAACAATCTGAAGGAAAACCTGAGTAATTATGCATAATATTTTATGCGTTTTCTGTTTCCACTAATGGAGCAGCACGGCCAGCCGACACACAGAGGTATTCATGCCGCCTTTGAAAAGTAAATTAGGATCAGTGATAACATTGCTGCACTAACCTATTTGTGTCACCTTTCCAATTAAAATTCTACATTTTAAGCTATGATTTTGTTTGCACCACTATAGCTTAATTATTAGCTGTAATTAATGGGTAGAGAGCAGCAATCTTTGCCAACATGTCTTTTTATTTTTATTTATAAACCCAGCCGGTGTGTTTGTGTCATTAAACCGGCTCCATCCCTCTCCATTATTGATTTAAATATCTCAGGTGCTGACTACATGCAAATGGGAGATGTATAATGTATGATTCATTTAGAGGTATCACATTCTCTACTAAGGAAGAGGCACTGTGACCCACATTCTCTGCACTGTGCTACAAAAAACATGCTTCTAAAATTGGACAAGACAGAAAGGTTCCTGATTGTGTGCGGTGAATTCACAGTCATGAACTGAGCGCTGTTAACCCCCATCGGTGCTGAGCGCCTGAACCGGAGAGAAGAAGAAACCCTGTCGTCTGTTATTTTCACAGTGACCAGACTCTCTTATAATGTCCTTATAGCTCACTATTTTTATTGTTTTGTAAAATAACCATAACTATATCATAGTGACTTCTACAGAAGCATTTTGGCAATTGAAAACACAAAAGTGTTTGATTTGAGCTATTTTGTTTGTTTGAGATATAAGATTGCATATAAAATAACATTCCATGATCTATCACAGCCTTTCTCAGCCTTCTAACCCCAGAGGAACCCTTAAAATAATTTTCAGGTCTCAGGGTACCCCTGTTAAGATAAATTATTCAGGGACTGTGGGAAAAATGTCCCTTGGTAATCAGTGAGAAGAATGCCCCTTAAATTGGTAGTCACTGGGAAGAATGTTCCTTACATTGGTGGTCAGTGGGAAGAATGCTCCTTACATTGGTGGCCAGTGGGAAAAATGTCTCTTACATTGGCAGTCAGTGAGAAAAATGCTCATTACATTGTTGGTCAGTGGGAAGAATGCTCCCTTTACTGGTGGTCATGGAAAGAATGCTCCTTACATTGGTGGTCAGTGGGAAGAATGCTTCTTACATTGGTGGTCAGTGGGAAGAATGTGCCTTATATTGGTGGTCAGCCAGAAGACAGCTCCTTAAATTGGTGGTCAGGTCATCTAAAAGAAAACTCCTTACATTGGTGATCAGTTGGAAAAATATCCTCCTTACATTGGTGACCAGTAAAGAATGCCCCTTACATGGGTGGTCATTGGGAAGAATGCCCCTTACAGTGGTGGTCAGTGAGAAGAATGCTGCTTAGATTGGTGATCAGTGAGAAGAATTATCCTTCCCATTGATGATCAATGGGAATAATGCTCTCTAGCCTTGATGGTATATGAGAAGAATGTTCTCTATACTCTTGGTCAGTGGGAAGAATGATCCTTACATTGAGAGTCAGTGGAAGGAATGCTCTTTACATTGGTGATCAGCGGGAAGAATACCTCCCTTACAGTGGTGGTTAGTGAGAAGAATGTTCCCTATGTTGGTGGTCAGTGGGAAGAATGCCCCCCTTACAGTGGTGGGAAAATGCCATCCCTAGAGACAGCCAAAAAAATTATTGGTCTCAAGCCACTGAATCTGCCAAGTGTCAATAGCCCATGAACTATGCAGCACCATCAGATGGGAAATCAATCAACCACAGCTCAAGAAACCCATAGCAACCTCAGGAGGAAATCTAGGGTTCCATGGAACTCTAGGTTGCGTATGGCTGCTTTATCACCAGCCTGTTTGTATTCAAATCATATTGTCTGGGTAAAATGTAAAAAAAAAATATGCAGCACATCTATGCAGTACATGCAGTTTTCACCATGTTTGTCCCTTTTAGCGGCCATTCACAAAAGAGAGCACAGAGGTGAAAGGAAAAGGGTCAGAAATGATAGGCATCAGTTGTCTCCCCTCTGGCCCAGGGCAGGAAATTGGAATTGGGTATGGAAATGAGGTTATGTTTAAGGGATTGGGGGGGGGAAGTTGTTCCATGGTGGGACTCGGTCTCCTAGGCCTCCCTTGTCCCCCTTGCACTATTAGAAACAGAAAAAGCACTTGTAGTCTCAGAAGCACATGTGACAGGCTGACAATGCAGAACAACTGGGAGATGGACAGAGTGTTGTCACCCTATAATAGGAATTACACAGAGGACTTTCATGGCAGGATCACTAGGAATTATTTTATTGAAAGCCTCACATTTAAAAAGATTTAAAATGACTCTTGAAATTACATTAAAGTGGTAGTAAACCCAAAGCCAAAAATGAAATATTTTGCATCCTACCAATCCTTAGATGTGGTTGCTGCATTAGTTTCCTTTTTTAGACTTTTTCCCTCTGTTTTCGCCTGGTGATCTGGCCAGTAACACACCTCCTGTATTAGAAAGCCTACACTCTGGATTAAGGAGCACAGGGGCACCTTTGGGCAGCAGCATTGTTAATCTGGGGGCAGAGGAGTGTTAGATGTTCTAGCAGATTTAGATACACTAACAAATTGAAGTTGGACCCCAGCTCACACTTCATAAGCAGTTACAACAAACAGTTTTGTTCCTTTTGTGATAAAGGTTTTACATAAATAAATAAAAGCTGATCATTGTAAGCACCCCTGTCAGTGGTAAATGGTTTGTCTCATCCCTCTAACTACTACATTTTCAGATTATCTTGTTCTGTTGAAAAACAATAGACTTACTGGCTAGATCACTAAGTGAAAAGGAAAGAAGGCCTAAAAAAGAAAACAAATGCAGCCATCACATCTTTTTAAGTTGCGATATAATAAATGTTTGATTAATTCCACTTTGATTACTAACACATAAGATTTTAGTGACTGGATTTACATACACTTTAAAGGTAACCTGTCATGGCAGAAACAGGAAGGCTTCCATTGCTGAGCACTCCTTCTGAAAATGGTAGCTAGCTGGCTGTCATATTAACCCTCTGGAGTTAATACTTTTAGTCCCTGGCCTGGAGTACAACTGAAGAATGACAGTGGAAAATGTCTAAGTGGTCCATCGAGTCCTCCCTGTGTTTTTTTTTTTTTTTTTTTCTTGGCTATAGATCTGTTACGTTTGTCCCAAGCATGTTTGAATCAACTTACTATTGACTGATTCGCTACCTCTGCTGGAAGTCTGTTCCAAGCATCAACTACTCTTCAGTAAAATAATACTTTCTAAGATTAGTTTTGAACTTTCCTTCTGCTAGTTTGAGGTCATGTCCCGTGTTCTTGATCTTGTCCTCCTAAACCTTATAAGTATGCTGATATGGCTTTCTCACTTTTGTCTGACTTTCTGGTCTTCCAAACAGTAGCAGAACATACATTCAGAGTTTTTATGTCTAAGGTTTTTATTTATCCAAGTCATTGTGTTTTCTAGTAGTAGCTAGTCAAACATTTTCAAAAGGTGGTCAGCAATGGCAGCCCCTGTGTTTCTCAATCTTGTAAAGCATTTAGGCCATTTTGATGTTATACAGCAAGATAAAGTGAGACTAAGTAACCCCAAAGAAGTGTCCGTTATCCCACAGAAACAACTAGACCCTTCTAGTGTCCTGACAAAGCCAGGCTGCCAGTCCAGCTTCTACTTGTTTATTGAAGTGGGGGTAACAGTGGCTTTTATTTCACATGGTATGCCTTAAAAATTAGAAACCCAAATGCTTTACAAATGTCAGCTTCCCTCCTCCTCCGCTGGTTTAATAAAACATGTTTCTACACGCATGGAATCCAACTAATCCAACAGTCAGTTTGGGGATTAGGAATTTGCTTCATTAGAGATTAGGCCAGGGCTTTCTATTACTGGACAATATAATAATGTACTCCTCTTGTTTACTTTGAACAAAAGAAAGGAAGGTTTATATCTGTGAAGACTCTCATTTATCCAGGTCATGATAAAACATATGATTATTGGAGTTTTTTTTTTTTAACTTTAAGACAAAAGTTTAGGTCCTGTTGAATAAGAGGCAGATTGCCTAAAGTTGGACTCTGGGTAAGAAGGTAAATACACAACGCCTGGCTCTCAAGGTAGACCAGCAGTAACCTTTGACTTGACGTGAAGCAGCAGCACACTGGGGAGTCATCCCTCTGCTCTCCCTTACTGTGAGCATATTTAATATCAGCACTGTTCAAAGTCATAGAGCCCTGATTAGCTCATGGACCACCCTTGCCCTCCCAGTCTGATACTGCTGACGGGAGCATCATTTTAACCCCTTGGCACTGCCTCCAGGCCCTTTACGGGGTTTGTGATGTCGGGAGGTGGGGCAGGGTTTAGGGTCATGTAACTGCTGTGAGGCACCAGTAAATGTGCCGTGAGGCATCAGTAAATGTGCTAGGAGCTTGCGCTCTCGGCACATTCGTTTACATTGGGCACGCAAATATGCGGCCTCTCAGCATCAAGGCTCAGCTGCCGAGAGACCACATATTTGCGTACTGATGACGCCAAGGAGTTAAATACAGATAAAGCCACTAATGTTGGTTCTATATAAAAAAAATTTGTATTGCATACCTACATACTGTATGTCCAGATTGACACAATGTAAGTATGCATTAGGTATGCATTACTCATGCTTGGGGAAGCTGGAAATCACTGTAGTATGCAGGACTATTATTTATTATTATTATACAGGATTTATATAGCGCCAACAGTTTGCTCAGCGCTTTACAATATAACGGGAGACAGTACAGCAACAATACAGTTCAATACAAGAGGGAGAGGAGGGCCTGATCCTTGGAGCTTACAATCTAGGAGGGAGGGGCTAGTGGTACAAAGGTAGTAAGTGTGGGGGATGGACTGGTTGGAAGAGTAGAAGATTCCATAAGCCATAAACTTCTGGGTCCTTCTCAGGTTCTAAAAGTATATTAAGAAAAAAACAATTATGAAATACTGTATGCTTTAGCAAACTAACTGTCATTCAGTTAGGATTTATATCTAATCTAAAGAGTAACTTTACTTTTGTTGAGAAAACAGCAAAACCCCTCTGGAGAATCAATGTACTTTGCAGGGATTTTCCCAAACTTTATATCAGACCCTTACCTTGTTGCTCGAAAGAATAGATTTTTGTTTCACTGTGTCCTTTTTAGATTGAATCTGAATGAGAAGGTCTGGTTCATTATAATCGGTGTACTCTCAGTGTTCTAATTAAAAAAAGTTGCAGGGTATGCATCCTGTTGGAAGAATTTAACCACTGTGGAGTATATCACCCAAACTGAAACTCCTATTGCAGGTGATGCCTAAAAAATAACTTGTGCATTAGTGCAAACTTTTGAGAAAATCAATGAGACAACCACACAAGCAGGAAATTATATTTAGGGGGGTCTTCTATACACCATTAGTATACAGAAAGCCTCCAGGTTTCCATATTGCATTATATTTTACGGAAAATTACAGGGGTTTCAGATTGAAAAGGAAAGGTCATTTTTAATAACATTAATTTACAACACAGCTTCTGTACCAATTGTAGATGCTATTCTATGTAGTTTTTTTATTTGCTATATTTGTTTTTCTACGGAAAGTGGTGTTTCCCTTTAAGTCCACCAAATTGTTGCCCCACTCGAAACCAGAGCTTCTGTTGTACCCGATATCTGACTAGCTATTATTTGAATGTGTCCATGGTTCTAGTAGCTATGATGTCTTATGTCATACAAATCTGTGTGTGTTTTTATACCAAGACAACGTATAGTTTCCAGAGGCAAAGTCTGATGAAATAGAAGGCGAGACAGTTTTGTGGAAGATTGTGCAATTTGTGCGATTGCCCTCTGTGCCTGCTGTAGATGCCGAGCGTTCATAATGAGATTGTCGCTGTCATCTCGTGCCGCTTTAAGCAAGATCAGATCATACACAGCACTGAAATAACCTAACAAATCGCCCCATTATGTGAAACTTACATAACTGGAGACCTCGCTTTTCTCTGCCTCCTCTTTGTCTTTTAAGTGGAGAAATGAAACAGTCAAAAATAGAAGAGGCACAGAGAGTAAAGAAGTGTAATGCGTAATACGGAATTGTATGCTCCACTGTAATGGATTAACCTCCTGATGTGGCCTGGCTGGGTGCACCAATTTGCAGAAAAATGATAACAGATCGGCGGCGCTCATATACCAAGCTGACATTTGCTTTGATGAGCATTCTTGCGTTGAACAGAAATGCTTGGTAATTTCAGAGGATGAAGGAGCATGAAAAACACATGCATATATGTTGCCATGTGTGTAGCTAAAGATACAAATATATGTCAATGTGCTGTGTTCATGTAGCTCTTCATATGCTTCTACTAGGCAATATCTAAAAGAGAAAAATAGATGAGAATCT